AACCTTCTTGGGGTTCCCTCCGTGGAGGTACTCGCGTGAAGGCGCTTTCCTGCGGTGGCAGCCGGTTCCTTGCCTTTTTTCAAGGCGGAGCTATTGGCGCCCTCCGCAAGAGGTGCCCTTGTTGTTGAGGATGGAGTGGAGGAGGTGGAGGGTGCACTCATAGTTGCTGCCACTTCTGCCTCTTTCGCTCTCTTCTTCCTCTTGGCCTCGGCGCCGCTGATACGCTTACGCCTTGGCCTTTGCATTGCATCGCGAGGTGGTCTGCTATGTCCAGCCTATTTCTGAGCGGTAGCTTGGGGTGAGCGTTTCTGTTCATCCCCAGCCCCCGCCCTAAATTGAGGTGAGCATTGCTGTCCAGCCTCGGGATTGATTGGTTTTTTCATACGTTTAGATTCCATGTATGTTCCCACGAGTAGCAAGGGAAGGGTTGGTCACCTCTAGCAGAGCCCCGCATTACCAGAGGAAGGCTAGTTTCAATGAGGTTTCGTCCGGTTCCTCAAGGGGATCGTTCGTAACCGCATATAACCCTGCGGCCATTCAGCTGTCGACACGATTCCTTACACAAAGTATATGCTCTGCTGTTTCATAATTTTCCAGACAGAGACGACACGCACTGTCTTCCGACAGTCCAAATCTTTGCATATGATGATTCAAATGACAGTGTCCTTTAAGAAGGCCTGTTAGACATCGTAGTTCATCCCTACTGTAGTCCAACAACTGTTTGGAATCAAGCTTCGAAGAGTGAATAAACGCCTTGGAGTGAGCCAATCCTGGAAGAGTCTGCCAGAACTCCATAAATTTTCTTGGCATCCAGGTGTTCAGTGTTTGTTTGGCAAAGCCCAAAGCCATGCCAATGACAGGTTCTGATCCAATGAAGCCACTTGCAGCACCCTCCTTTGCAAGAGTCAGCAGCTCCATTGCCTTCCAGGCCAGTATGGCCAGGAATCCAGACCAGAGACTGTTAAGTCCTTCTATCGAGGAGAGTGGTTTTTGGCAATTTGCCACCAATTTAGACGTTGCTCGGTAGGAGCCAAGAGCTTCCAACGCTGCTAGACTGTCCGAAAATATTTTTATTGACTTCTGAGTGAGGTTGGATTTATCCAATCTCTCCACACACAAATCAATAGCGTAAATTTACGCTTGAAATACAGTCGCATAAGTTCCTAGGCAGGTAGATAACTCTGTCCTAGGTCTGCGACTGAAAACGACTGCACCAGAACCGGACAGTCTGTTGCACTCTGCATTGAATTGATTTGTGCAATTAGCAATGTGCACAGGTCTGTATGCAGTCCATCTAGCCTATCTTTCCAGAAAAATGTGGAGAGGAGGTAGATCTAGAAGGATCTCCATGGCGTGCCATTAGTACCACGGTGTGGTACTAATGGCACCACTGATAGCCAGACAAGCCTGCCTCTGTAAGCCAGAGAGCTTCGCTTGGGCTGATTTCTGTAAAGTCTTCAGCCACCAAGCAATTGCACTATAAGTGATCATTGGCCTGACAATCATCACATAAATCTAATGGATTTGTTTGGGATCTAAACCTCAAGTTTTACCATAAATCTTTCGACATGTGTAACAATGTGTAACGACAATGTGTAACTTCCGACTGATATTAAAATGTTTTCGTACCACACTTTCAAGCAGTAGTGTTTTTTATACATCGTAAGCAAATATCGTAAGCAACAATATTAAACACTATACCACAAACTTTACAATATTTTTTGAGAGCTCTCCTTTTGATGAGCAAATACCATGTTCTAAAAACGGCAGCCCTACGATATTTTTCAACATTTTTCAATTTGTGAATTGGCAGCTAGCTATGACAGGTTCAAATGGCCAACTCATTATCCCGACTTTTTTTATGTGGTCAATTGAAGTCGAAAGTATACCTGAACTAGCCAGAGAATTAAACAGTTGTCGAAGATAACTATGTTAAAGCTAATGATAATGTCAAATGCGGTCGTAGTCGAAGCATCAGGCATTTAATCTTACAAACCACGACAAAAAACCCGAAAAGTAGATAAGATATCTGTTGAGAACAATTGTCGAAATCTGTTTTTTCGTTAATCAGCTACAGCTATTGCTCTGCATATTGGAATCTACATTTCACAGAATGGCAAACTCTATCCTTGGACAATAAAAATACCATGCCAACAAGGTATTAGCCAACCCATCATTTCATTTTAAAATTAACGTATTTCGGTAACGCAAGAATGTATTTATTTCTTACTGGTTTTTTTGGATACTTAATATAACCTTCCATAATCTGAAAAATTAACAAAGCTAAATTAATAGAGAATCTGCTGAAATGTAAAAAAGGGCATACTGAAAAGTTCACCTCAAAAGGTTACTGCGTGATATAAACCACTGAAAAGTCCATTTATCCAGTAACTTGTCGTATTCATACATTTTGCCTACAAATCAATTGAAAGAAATGAAATCTTTATATTTAGCTTTTTTTAATATAGAAAACAATTTTTTTCCGTTCTCAAAACCTGAAATTAACTTTGAAACTTTCGCCTCAAATTGTGAATAGCTCTAATTTTATTTCTCAGACTTGGAAGGTTATATACCCAAAAAAAATCAGTAAGAAGTATTGTATACTCCACAAAAATTGTATTTCAAAGAATAATGCACCACAATGTATACACATTTCTTGTGTGTATACGCTTTTTGGTGCACTATTCAATACTTTCTTATTATATCACCTGACGATGGATTGAAACGTGTGATTTTTCTATTTTTGTTCATTGAAAGTAGCATTTACTCCTAACCAAACTTTTGAGAAAATTATGATATTACGGTAACGTATCGTTACCAGTCCTAGACCAAACAATAGAGTCTAATAATTCTACAATGAAAATACACGTATTTATTTGGTCGAATAAGTTTCTTTACAATATCTCTTCAAAATCATCACTCAATTTCCCGAATAAGCTATCTTCTTTCAACCTAGAAAATTCATTATTTGTCATGCACGAAACTATCAATCAAAATGACATTTTGTTTCTTGCGCCTGTTGTATATTGTGTAGCTTGGCAACAGTTTAATTGCTGAACTATAAAAATTACTATTTTATTTTGACATTTCGAAAATTGTATTATTTATATATTTCACATAATGTGAGTTTAACCGCTATAAACGAAATTTTTTACTTCTACAAAACTCCTTGATTATTACATTCAAGGAAGTACTACAATTATACTTTATAGCGGCAAAACGAACATTCCGAGAAATAGTTTATATTTTTGATCGCTCTAGCTTTGACTTATTTGTTACAGAGTTTCGGGTAGCATGGCTTTGGAAACCGATACTATTGCGAAGGAATGTTACGATTTTGCCTCCACTATAGAACATAGTAAACTGGTCATAGCGAATGAACCCTTAACGATATGTGGCTCCGATAGCTCTGAAGATGAGTGCACAATTGTCAGCGAGTCATGTTCAAAACCAGATCAACTCGTCCAAAATTTTGATATACCGGACATAGTATTCGATGGTAATAATTTTCAATTTAGTGGTAAACAAGGATCTTCCAATTCAAAGGCAAACTTGTCCCTTACTGACCATAATGTTAAAGATGGATTGGCTGTTCTAGAAATTTTATGTTCTCACAACGTCGTCGATTGTCCAGAGTTCGTTGACATTGCTAATGTGACAGGAGTTTTAGAAGCACAAAACTTGATTGAAGATACAGAAGTCCTGGAGCTGAGTGATGATGACGATGACGTTGTGTTTGTTAAAGAATATAAGGAAGTCAAGAAAGCGTCACCTGAGAGAATTGTTGATTATCCTGCTGATGATAATGAGCTTCTCAAGATCAGGAGAAATCCAGTCAGGAATGCGAGGAACAAATCTAGGGATCTGTCGAAGGACTTGCTGTACGAAGAAGATTTCGCTATTTTGGATGTAAGCGATAATGAATTGGAAAAAAAAGAAAATAAGGTATGTGAAATCCCATATTTTCCAAATCTTACCTTTGAAATAATGTAGTTATATGTTAGTTATATAACCATCCATATTTTTCAAACCTTTTAACTTGTCACTTGACAACTTAATTTGTATAACAAAATTAAATGTTGGGGAGAAACCAAAAATAAGTCAGGTTAAAAATCATTCCATTCATTTTGAAACTATTTCGGTGACACCTAATATTTTAATACAGTGTGTTTCAAACTCATGAATGTGGTGAGTGGAACATCATATTCGATTTTGAAAAAATCGTGTCTGCCATTTTATTAGCAAGCATTCATGAAATTGGAATATGCTGTTGGTTTTTGTTTTGATTTCAAGCAATGAGAAAATGCCCATCAGTAACTGTCATTCGTTACCTGTCAAAAATGACATTGACAGTAACATTTGAAAAAGTTTTTATTTTAACTTTTGTGATCTATCATATATCAAGGGTGAATGTAAATAGTCCCCTCCTCTTAACGTTGGAACGGAAACATTTACGTAGAAGGGTATCGTTGTCAGTATTTTTTGAAAGAGAATTATAGTGTTGCATCACTCTTCGTCGAGAGGGCGCTAATAACGTATTTTCAAATAGAAAGGAGGTATTGTGATAACTAGAGGAAACATATTTTTGAAAATGTTTTATAACCAGACGATTCAGTCATTATTAAATTATTTTCCTTCATACATGGTTTTCCTGAATAATGTATATCAAAGTTAGGTTTTTTTAAATGGAACACTTCTCATCCTTTTTTTTTAATTCTAGGATGATTTCTAAGATGCCTTTTGAGATATTTCTGAAATTTTTTTCTGAAAAATCAGTATGTCTGAAAAACCCCATTTCATACGAGGTGTATCTGAAATATAAAATAATTTTCTGGGATTTGGTTCAGTTTTTTCTCAATATATTCTTCCAGTCAGTTCGAACAATTTCTTCACAGAGTGTTCAAAATTAACGAGTCAATTCTGATAAAATCTTATTATCCTGGATTTTTCAAATGGAACACCCCATGTACTGTGACTCCAGTGCTCTTTCATATATTACCTTGTGTGTTGTTTTTGTGAATGATATCTTTTTCTATTCCAGAACAAACTGAATACGAAAAAGAACTTTTCGTGTGAATCAATGTTTTTTTTAAAATAGAATATCAGCACAACCTAACTCTT